GCCCACCCCGGCCTCAGCCCGACAAAGCAAGGCACGTCCCACCCAATCCCGGTTCGGCGGGTTGCAGACAGCTCCCACCCCGGGACAGCTCCCGGAACACAGGAGCGGCCCCCAGCCCTGCAGCCATGCTGGGCAGTGTGTCCCTTGCCACTCTGCCAGGGCAGAAGCAGCAAAAACCTCTGGGGCAGGATTTTGGCTCAGGCAGCCGGGTTTCTTGCTGCAGGGGAAGCAGCAGTGAGGAAGAGCCAGGGTCAGACAGCTCTGACCCAGCAAGGAGAGGAAGTGCCATTCTCATCCATGCTAAGCATAAACTCAGTGTTTATGAGTCCTAAAACACAAGGCCATTTTCCCAACAGCCCAGATGTGCAGCAGAAGAGGGGAGGGAGGAGGCTGGGGGAGGTCCTGCCTTACCTCTGTGTCAGCATCTGTTGCTTTGAGCTCAAACTCGGTGATGGTTTTTCTCACCCCTTCCTGAACCGTCATCCCAAAGATTTGCACCACGGGTAAGGAGTCATCCACGGGGTTTATGGTGATGTCAAAGGTCTGGCTCACCTGGGACAGGAGGAAAAACCTCTCTTGATGAACTCAGCCTTCCAAGAGTGCGACTTCATGGCAAGAGCTCAGCAATCTTCAGGTTGGGTCACTTCATCTCAGCCTTGTCTGGTGAGTAAATCCGAGCCGCTAAGCCCAGATCACATGAACATGCCCTTCTTTATCCCTCCTCACTAATTAATTCTCCCTCTTTCTGTGATATTTATGGACATGCCCTCTCCTTCCCTCCCTCTCTCAGTCCGTGTTGCCCCTCTCCCTCTACGTGCAGCTCTTTCAGAAAGCAGCAGAGGCATTTCTCCATTTCTCCATTTCTCCATTTCTCCATTTCTCCAGGTCTGACTGTGTGCTCCCTGCTCCCTGCCCTGAGGGATGTGGGCAATCCCACAGCAGGAGGAGGAGGAACAGCCACCTCTGCCCAGGCTCCTTCTCAGGCAGAGCTCAGGCTGGCACTGACCTCGTTTGTCCCATCAGACACAGAGAAGGTGAAGGTGTCCCTGTGCTTTTCCACGTCACTGGTGTGGACGTACTGGATGCTGCCAGAGGCCAAGTCTGCCTGGCTGAAGGAACTAATTCTTGTCCCTGGGAAATGAACAACAGGGGGAAAATGTGCAACAGAAAGAGCAAGGCAGGGAAAAACTACAGGAAACAGGACATATTTAGCCATAAGCACTCAGTTTTGGCTGGTTCTGATCCAAGTCAGGCTGCCCCATGAATCTCAGTGGAGCCAGGGATTTAAGCTGGCACAGAGCCTCCTAAAATCTCCTTCTCCAAAAGAAGTCCAGGCTTCTTTTGACCTCATCCTGTTGGGAGTGGGCCCCCTGGGGCAGAGGGGGAGAGAAGCTGGGAGAAAAATGGCCCATGGAACACTTGGATTGTCACTGCTGGGCAGGACTAACCCAACCAAGGCAACACTGAGGATGAGCTAAGGGCCTCCTGGCCTCACAGCAGTTTTCCAAAATGCCTTCCAAGTATTTCTTCTCTCTGCCCCTCCTTGTACCCCTGCATTTCGTACCAAGTCCCTTTTCAGCACTGATTTATAGTGACATCTTTACAGGCCATTAGGTGTGACACAGCCACAGAAAGGTACCTGACAAGCATTTCAAAAAGCACTTGAGCTTTTTAAATCTCGTTGCTGTGTTCAACAGTTTTACTGCTGTTGTCAACAAACACCCTGACAAGAACTTTGCCACCAATATATCACACTAAATGGCTGCTGACAGATGCTGGCCACACTACAAAAGAAACCAGGATCTGATTTAAATAAATGAGCCAAAATGGAACATTCAGCTAATATTTCTTCAGAGCTCATCAGCTGTGAAGGTTTGGGTTCTCTTTTGAACACCTCAGTATTCTCTTCTTAGGTTTAGGCTGTTTAAATCATGGTTACAACTACTCCTCAGTCTGTGACTCTGTATCCTTATTAGTCCCTCACAGACATGAAAAAACACAGAAATCAGAATCATCATCAGATTTTAAATAATAGGAGGAATAAAGTCCTTAATTGAAGTCTCCAAAGTACAAGATTTACTGGCTAGTTTGCAATTTAGGCAAAAACAGTGCATGTTTCTAATTTACTCTCAGCAGTGAGTTATTATAACTCGTTCATTATTCCTGCCCTTTCAACACGCTTTTGGTGAGAAGATGAGGCAAACCCCACACTCAAACTGAGCTGTACAGGGACTGTCTGCATCTTGAAAACACACAGCAGATATTTCCACTTTAATCTCATGTTAATGAGAAATCTAAAGCTAAGAAGAAATATAATCTTAGATGAGTATAATAAAATCAGAAGAGCGTATAATGTGACCCCACAGATTTAGATTAATTCATCAGAGGGACAGCACACTCGCACTGTCAGCAGGCATGAAAGGCAGCTCTGAAATTCAGATCACATGTGCAGGACAAGTCATCTGTTCACCAAGATGGGCTGTTTCCAAGGACAGTAAGGGATGGATTCTTTGGGGCACTGTGCTGTTCACAGCAAAGGCCAGAGGTTTTCCTGACACGTAGAAGCAGCAGTAGGGCCATAAACTCACATAAATCCTCAACTGGGATTATTGGGCTGCTCTGCCTCCACTCACCTTATTCCCCAGCCCTCTGGGCTAACGGCCCTTTGGTTCCTAACAATTCTGTGAATTGTTCTATGGATTGATTTCTGACAATTTCTGGGCATTCCGTGCTGCTGCCTCCGGGCACGTTTTTCCTGCAGTGAATGTTCAGGGCCCAAGAGGCTCCAGTGTTTTGCTGCTGCAAGGGCCCAGCACCTCGCTGCTCACCTGGGGAGGCCACGTGCTCCAGATGGCCCAGCTGTGGCTGCCGGGTCACCGTGAACTGCAGCTGGGAGGCCTCGCTGTCCTGGTCAGTGGCCGAGAGCTGCAGGGTTGTGATGGCCTTGGCCGAGTTCTCATCCAACACCAGCCCCTTGTTGGTGATGATGGAGGGGGGAAATCTGTCCTCTGGAAGGGTTAAGCACAAAGCTGAGTTAGGAGACAGTCACACTCCAGCCCTCAGTACTTGTGCTCAAGCAAAGATGGCACACGCACAAACATTTTGGTAATTCCAAAACAGGACCTTGGGGCCATCCCATTTATCAGGGATGGTAACATTATAATGTCCTAAAGACTATCTAAACAGCATGAAGGCATTAAGGGGAATTTTTCTACCTTTTCAGTGAGCTTGTCAGAAGCCAAAGAATGAACCCTTGCATCTGCAAAATCTCCCCGTGCCCCTCACTTCAAAGGCCTTGGAATTGACAGCTCATCAAAACCACAGCTCAAAAATTCCATTTTGCCTTGCAGTACATGTGGGATGGGAATCTGTGGGCAGGCTCAAGCTCTGCAGCAAAGAAAACACAACTTCAGCAGTACTTTTTACCTATTACATGGATGTGGAAAACCTGGTCCATCAACTTGTTGCCATCTGCATCCATCACATCAAAGGTGAAGGGGAAGTTTCCTCCGGGATCCCCTTTGCCATGGCTGTACACCACGTGCCCTGGGGAGAGCAGAAAAGAGGTGCTTTAGTACAGGCTGCAGCTCTTAATCCTTACTTTGGAAGCAGGCTGGCACCATCAGCTGAGGCACCTGGGGCTTGACAGGGCTCCTGGATTTGGGTTTCAAATTTTTTTTCTCTCTTTATTCTCTTTCTTCTGTTGAGAGAAACTTTTAAACATATATTTAATGATACATGGTTCTGCTCTAACTTAACAACCTGAGCTTACTTCTTTCCCTCTCTCCCTTCCCTACTTCAGCTCATCACTCCCCTCTCATAAAGATGACAGAGTCATGGAATATCTGAAACTGGAAGGGACCCATAAAGACCATCAGGTCCAACTCCCTGCTCCTCACAGGACTACCTTAAACCAGGCTTGGCTGATATACTTGCTGTGGCTACCTAAAATGCAGCACTCTCACCTTTGTTTATATCAGCCTGGGTGAAACTTCTGAGGGGTCCTTTGGCAGAGATCTGGACTGGGCTATCAGCTGTGGTCAGCTGCAGCTGGCCCCTGCTGGGGTCCCTCCTCAGGACAAATCTGATGGCCGTGTCCTCTGAATGCCCAGCTGCTGCTTTCAGGTGCTGAGCCGTGAGCCGAGCTGCAGAGCCTGCACCAGAGCGAGCAAAACCCACAATCACCTTCAGAGCCAGCCTCAGGCA